AGCAAAAAAGTTACAAGTTGCGACTAAGGTAAATTAGAGTAAGGAAATAACAAAACTGCAAAACGAGGACTGTGAAGTACACTTACATTGTTTCGGCCAGAGAAAACTGCTGTAAAGCGGACTGCGAATAACGCGAAGAGACTTGCAAGAAACTAAACAGAACTGCGCTAAGCGCGGACCAAAATGAGCTGCACAAACTGTACTGCAAAACTACGATATGAAAAATACGCTAGAACATGCGGAAAATAAAACTATAGAAACTTAGAAAGGCGCTAATGAAGATGAAACAGCAAAGAAACGCTAACGAGGGCGCGAAAACTGACAGAAAAGGAATAAACACCTAAATTAACGCAAAAAGAAAGACTAAACAAAAGGACGAAAAGAAGTATAAACTAATTTGCGTACGCAAAGGAAAAACAAATTACGCAAGAACGAATAATAGAAAAAATGTTACACTTGGATCTTACAGCAGCTATTCTACACATCAAAGCACCTCATAAGCCTGAAATGTTTACTTTGTTTTTCCAAATCTCCAAGTCAGAAAAACTTACCCAAGCATCAAGGTTATTCAAGCGAACAATGGTATAAAATGCGAAGAAGCATTAAGGTTATCACCCAAGCATTAAGGTTGTTCAAGCGGAAAATGGTATAAAAGGCGAAGAAGAAGAAGAAGGGGAAGATTGTCCCAGCCTTCAACTCACAAACGCCATGCAAATAGAAGGGGTGTTGTCTAATGTAAACACGCCAAAGGCTTGCGGGCATGACATGCGGCCCCCGCGCCTTATAAAGGAGTCCTTGCATGCCATAGCCGGTCCTGTCGCAAAATATTCGAACACTTCTATAGCACACAGTCGATATCCATCCCGCTGGAAAAGGGGACAAGTTCCGCCCCTGTTCAAGAGGGATGAGGAATTAGATAAACGAAACTAAGGCCTGTTACTGTTCTACCCTGCTTGAAAAATATTTCTGAAAGACTGCTCTCGGATCAATTGTAGGATTTCTACCAAGGTCTATAGTCAGACTTCATTTGCGCTTATGGGCGACGTCACAGTTGCGATACCGCGCTTCTCAAGCTTACGGAAGACTGGCGCACATGCCGTCATAGGAAGGAACTGGTGGCTGTCGTATCTATGGATCTGTCGAAAGCTTTTGATACGATTCCACATCCTCCTCTACTGGCGAAATCATAAGCTTACAGTCTTAGTAACAGCGCCTGCGCTTTGTTTGCCGACTACCTGAGCGACAGGACACAAGGGGTAAAAATTGGAGATTCTTTCCCGGAATGGCAGAAGGTCACCAGAGGGGTTCCGCAAGGAAGTGTGCTCGGGCCGCCGAGCCGATGTTAAGTTAACATATTTCTGAACGATCTATTCTTACTATAATACAAAAGATGTTAATATTCACGCCTACGCAGATGATGAACAAATTTATGTCTCGGATGTGGATCCTAGAGCCCTTAAACAGCGGATACTTCATCAGGTCCAAATTGCGAACCAGTAGTACACAGAAAACGGCATGATCGTGAACGCCGACAAACACCATGCTAGGGTTTTAGGGACCAAGGACCACAAATTATCTTTTCCTGTCGTGGACTCCCTGGACTTGCTTGGAATGACCATCGACAATCAGTTAAACTTCAGTGAACATGTATCTTTAGTGTCTAAAAAAGTCAACAATCAATTGAATATCATGATTAGATTTCGTAACCTTATTTGTATCGCTACCAAGTTAAAGTTTTATAATGCTTTCATTTTGCCCCACTTTCAATACTGCTCTACGGTGTGGCATTTTTGTAGTGCTAAAAACTGTAACAATCTCTTAATAAGCGCGCCCTATGTATTGTTCTTAATGATAAAGTTTCGTCCCACCAGCAGCTACTTCATAAGTCAGGAGGAGCAACTCTTTATAACCAAAGGATTCAAAATATGTTAATTCACTATCTACAAATGTTTGGACTATGAAAGTTTTCCGAAATATCTTAAAGACGTGCTTACTTTGCGTCAGTCTGTGTACTATTCTAGAAGAACTAATATTTCATCACCATGTAAACCTGCTACCACTACTTATGTCCGCAACTCTGTCCGTTACTTTGCATCTAAGAAATGGAACTCCCTACCTAATATTTTATGATCTGAGACTACTTTATCTGGTTTTAGAAGACTCCTGAAAGCGATTTCCTTTCAGACATAACGGTATATTTAACGTTTTTCATGTATGTAAATAGATTTTTATGTATTTAAATATATTTATTTTATGTATGTAAATAGATTTCTCTTTTTTTTCTCTGGAAGATACTCTGGCATTCGAGTACAATTAAGAAATGGTAAACGTGCAGCGTGCAACCATGGAGTTATGGATACACGCGGGAGGTTGCTAAGCACGAAAGAAGCGTAAGAGTCGCACGAGACGATAGCTGAGTGCGACTCTAGCTTCTTGAGTGCTTCGCAAACCTCCCAAGTGTATCCATAACTCCATGGTCGCACAGCTGCAACGTTTACCATTTCTTTTAAAACATAATCAAAAGAGAAAAACATTATTTTCCATTTGCCTTCGGTTGAGTCATCGGTCTGAGTTCATGTACGCTGCCATCTGCCGGCGCGTAAACAAATCATGTTCTTTGTTTTTCAAAAACTTTCCTTTGAGTTTTTCTTTCGCTGAATCCACCGTTCTCCGCCATCAGGTAAATTGCAAAACGTTTTTCGTTGTTATTCTGAATGGCATCTGTCTACTTGCTCTTAATATTAGGGTAAAAACGTTCAGAGAAAACTATAGCCGCAACTATAAACACCAACTAAAAAGACTCTAAAAAAAAAAACTAAATAAATGAAATAATTATCAAACTTATTTATGTGACAATTTTGAAATAAACGTTAAGTAGAAATGAGAAAATTTGACTGTAATTCCTTTAGAATAACAGGTAACACTAATTTTAAAAAGAAATTAACTAGCTTGGTATCGAAAACTGACAAGTGTCTGGGGAAATCCAGCTATGAAAGTCAAAGTTGCAACTGAAATTCGCCGACACACAGCCGGCGCTAAAGCTGTTGTTTTTCGACCGTTCTCTGAACGACTGTTATGAATGAACACTGGGGGACAAAATAATACACACAGAAGTTATTTTTTGAAAAATTTATTTGAAAACCCAAATGTTTCTGTACTCAAATGAAATTCGCTTATTCCAGCGTAATGTGTCCGTTTAAACTCAACTAAAATTTTCAATCGATGCGATGAAAACTTCACAACAAAGCTGTCTCGAATTTGAGCGTGTTTCCTAAAATATTTGCTTGAATTTAGCATCAGCTTCACCAAAAAATTATAAGACAATGCTAATTGATAAATTTACATTTCAAACAGACTTTCTCTTCCATAAAAAATACACAAAATGTACCTTAAATCTTCGCTCGCTCGATTTTCCTTCAGCCGATTCTATAGCCGCAAAGAAAACAGTGATTAATTCATCCAGGGCAAATTTGTCGCTTGATCTTTAGTCTTTTTTCCTTTAAAACGACAGCTTAGTATTTGCTTCAACTTCCACTTTTGATCTGTGCATTTCTTCGGTGTATTTTACCGTCAGGAGAAGAGGTTTGTTGAATTTGCCTACATTTTACCGCGCTAGCTCAGTTTCTTAGCGTGCACCCACGGGCAAATGGTAGTGGCTAACTGACCAATCAGAGCGCGCGATTTACTTTTGTTATGTTGTAAATAAAGTTCACGTTATTTTGCCTGAACAACAGAGATTTTGAGGAACCGTTCCACTGGGTACCCCTGTAGGCCAGGCTCTGACTAGAGTATCTATTGTAGCTAAAATGTCATATCAAACCTCCGTGTTCTTTTGCCTATAAAGTCGATCTATTTTCTGTGCATCGATGTCCTATGGTTTTTGGTTTGACAGAATTTTGATCTCGGAAGCACTGTTTATATTTTCAATCAAGCGTTTTATGCAGGAGTTGATCCATTCGATGTTGATTTTGCGTAGGTTTCACGTAAAGGATCGTTAAGTTCTCTTCAACAAGAAATTATAGCTCTACTTTTGGCGCTTTTGTCTAGTTTCACGAGTTATGATCGGCACATGTAGGCTGCGTACAAACGCCCCTGGTGTCTGCACAGGGCACTCACTCGATCTTTTTTTTTTTTGTAATTTGTGATTACACTTTTACACTTAATAAAATGATGATTCCAATATTGAGAGCTGTTGCGTGACTACCGACGCTCGCCACCCACCCGTGTGTATGAGGGAAAAAGACACGTGACTAAAAAATGTCTGGTTCGTCTTCTTTTGCCCCCATGATCCTTGTTTTGTCCTTAATGTCCTTAAAATAGCCCGTTTGTCCTGTTTTAGGTCCTGATCGTCCCTGAAATTCACTTTTCTATCACGAGAGGTTTCGGAAAAAACATTCTTATTAAATATACAAACCTAACATGCAATCAAGCGTTTTCTTTCTTCCGAGACGTCCCCTAGGCTACCAAACAAAAGAAAAGAAGGACCTCCTGATCGTAGGTTTAACCATATCACCTATGTACCCTTGTAAAAATCACTGTTTGGCACATTAGTTCAGGTATCTGTCACTTAACGGAATGCAGCTCTCAACGGTTTAACTGTACCTCGTTGAATTTTGAACATTAAAGTGGCCCCAGCGAATGTCAAATTAAGCGACCTTGGCCCTGGCTCGTCCCAAGTCGTCTCTTATCATTATAATTTTAGGTGGTCACGGAACGGTCGCAGAAGCCTACTACGACATCCCGGCGAAAAGGACGATAAAAAGGATAGAGGGAAAAGTTTCCCCTTTTCCTCCTATCCCATCTCCCCCCGTGCACAGTTTTCATGCGCATTCTTCCTCAATATTTAATTAGGAGACATGGGAGACAAAAGAGAAGACTGGGGATGAGTCAGGCCTTGTCTCTCACCCTTTAACAGTTGATAAGTAAGAAAGCATTTCATTATAAACCTTGAAAAGGCATTCACCAGTGACCGCATGTCGCACCAAAGTACTGTTTATGAACCTGCACCTATTTTTATTGCTAGGCCACACCTCAAAATTAGGATTATGGATTGGTTTGACGCCAATTTTGTTTGCCAACAGGGCTATGTAAACATCGTCGAGTCTAAATTTTTGTACGGCGTCGAATAAACCTACAATAGCATCCACAACATCGGGAGAAAGAACAATTCCTAAACCAGGACAGAAAGGTGGGTAGAAGGTCCCATTATATTCACTTTGGGAGACTTTCCATTTTCCATGTCTCTTCACTGTGGGATGTTCGTTAACCCATCCAGTGTAGAGCTTTTCTCGAGGGGTTTTCGGATTGTTTAGAAGTGAAATCAATGCCCTCGTGTTGAGAAAAGCGTCATCGTCCATTTTCAAAAGAAAGGAGAACTGGCAATGTTTGGAAGCCCATTCTAAACCCATTTGTATCTTCAGGGTCTGATTCCAATAATGTTCATAGTAGTCCGCACGTATAAGGTCTCCAAAAGTTACGCCTTCTTTCAACAGTGCTTCTGACTCCGTTCGGTTTCGCGTTTGACCAACAAGAAAAACTGTCTTCCATCTCGGTTTTAGATCGCTGTCGAGCCCCCACGTTAGGCGGATATCTCTCCTTTTCTTGGCATTATTTGGTGCGGATGAGACTAATACTAGAAGAAAGTAGGGCTGCATACAACTAGTGGTAGTTATTAGAGTTGTCTTGTGCTGCTTTAACTTTTCACTTGATTGTGTCATGGAAAATTTATTTGTTGGTGACCTCACATTTGATATGACCATTGCCGACTCTTGAAATTTTTCATATTCTAGAATGCCGTACGAGCGTGGAAAGGTCATCTGGACATCATAGAAAATACGCAAGCACAGAAAGGCACAAACTGCCAGAAATAGACAGAAGGTAACTTTCATCAGAGGCCGTCTGCGAAGTAGCAACATGGCTCGCCTAAGAATTTGTGGCTTAGTAGTTTCCAACACCTGATAAAAATAATACATAACTGAATAACAATATAACAATAACAGCATTCTGGAGTGGGTGTGACGCAGATTTTCCATTCCTAATAAAGACTTCTAATCCTTATTAGCAACCATTTTATTCATTTTCAAGAGACCTTTTCCTCGCGAAGTAGACTGCTCACCGCCCCCTATTTTTCAGTAAATTCGTCGAGATCTAGCGCTTTGCTTCGCTGTTTCAAAACTACCTTTGGGGGAGGGGGGGGGGGCGGTTTGGGAGCCGCCGTTTAAGTAGTTTACACATTCACCCAAGATGGCTTCCCGTAACGCAAAAAGCTCGATCTCGACGATCTTACGGGAAAATAGGGGACTTTAAACAGTGTATCGCGAAGCAAGTTTTTTAATTTTTTATGATTTTGCCGATTCCGCAACACGGCCCGCGACAAAAATTAACAAAATTATACAATTTCGAACACAAAATACCAAGACGGTTTACACAAGCACATAAAAACTACAACAAAGCTCATAAACTTATGATCAAATTAGCGATGCATAGCAATATTTGCCTAGCTTTTAATCGTAACCCCGACTCCTCTTGTTCCAATGACTATGATGTCCCCTGCAAATGTGCACAAGCGACACGTAGCTCTCGCCCGTTTTTAGGGAGTTTAAGCAGTTCCGTTTTTGAGTGGCGAACGTCAACCGGAAGTGAGCCTTTTTCTCTTTTAATATGCTTTAACGCTACCAAATTTGTATGGCTAAGTGTCTTTACTCTTATAGAGACGATTTGCCTAAAAAATTTGTTTAAAATCACGGCTCGAGAGTGCAAAAAGCCCACTTCCGGTTGACGTCCGTGGCTCGAAAACGTCGCTGCTTAAAAAGGTGGCCCGTTCCTATTTATATGCGTGTTAGTTATGTTTTGATTCGCGTTTTTCAGAATAAAAGATTCAACCGATTTCTACGATTTTTTGCATCTTTAATAAATAATGAAGGAACTTTAAGAAAATGTTATTTATTTTCTTATAGGTATAAAAACTTTTGAGATATCGACATATATTTAAAAGCTGACAAACTACCTCTTAACTGGGACGTTGTTCTTACTCAAAGCATTGTTGGAAGAAAATGAGTAATCGGACAACTACGGCGAACACAGTTAGCGCTTTAATACAACCAACTTTCTACTACATGCGCGTTGAAATTAAATATGTTCTATTTATCAAACTTACTCTGCATTTGTCCTTTCATTTTCGACAAAAACATTAAGAAAACAAAACACAGCATCTGCAGAAACCGCTTGGTAGTTTTTAGCTTCAAAGGTTCTCGTTCTGAGGCGAAATAAACCCGCTAAAATAACTATTATCCCCAAGTGGCATACTGCTCGTGAGCATGTGATTGGAAAGTCAGAGATCTTGAATATATTATCGTGCGAGCGGGTTTTCATTGCAGTTGAAAATTGGATGGCGAGGTATTCTCCAACTAGCGGGTTTATTTGTCAGTTTGTCAGCTCTCTTCCGCTATTTGTGCGTTTACGTTCACAAATGTGTTAGCCTATCATTTTAACATTAAATTTGACCAACATTTTGTGGAGCAATTTCTACGGTCACGCTTGCCTTCAAACTTACAGACATAAAACTAGAGAGCTCTGAGGCTTATTTGCTGAAGTTAGGGAAAAATCTGTGGTGGGATTTCGTTATTTAAGTTATTTAAGTTATTTTCATTTTTCGTAAAAATGAGGTTTTAAATATATGTCGATATCTGAAAAGTTTTTATACGTATAAGGAAATAAATAACATTTTCTTAAAGTTCCTTCATTATTTATTAAGGATGCAAAAAATCGTAGAAATCGGTTGAATCTTTTATTCTGAAAAACGCGAATCAAAAACATAACTAACACGCATATAAATAGGAACGGGCCACCTTAAGCTTCCTTTTATGTGACGTCACACTGGCAGTGATTTATTGGTCATAGGCAAACAAATGAAAGCAATAGGAATAGCCCCTCCCTGCTGGGCTTAACGAACAGTTATGTGTAAATTAGTCTTTTTATGATAACAGTACCGTTTTCCTTCTTTGGGGAAAGACCTAGGACAGCAAATAACTTATCTCAAGCTCTGGATCCAGCACTGAATAGACTGTCAAAGATATTCTTCTATAACAAATTAATTGTTTACTAAAATAGAACCTAGCATACCATTTTCACGACTGTTAGAGTGGTTTTCGTTTGAGTGTCGTAAAACCAAAACCAAAGTAATTACTCTGGCCAATCACATAGGACACAGACAATACATTGAACCAATCAAAACTCGAAGTAATTACATGTGGCTGACGCAAAGCGCGGGAAAATGCATGCGAGCGCGTCACAATTG